ATATATATAAAACTGTGCACATACCAGTGGGAAGTATGGCAATTGATGAAGGGATTTATGGTTGATGAACATCAGTACCCATTACTTGCGTATTATCCTCTCTCGGTTCCTTTTACAGGTCGTGGACTGCGATCTCAAGCCCCTCGCCCTCCTCGTCAGCCCCCTCCACCTGGAGTAGCGCCTTCCGAAGAGGATGATGAGGATGTTAACACTTCAGCTGTTAACGGGACTTCCAACACAACTGTAACAAGTACCCAGAATGCCATGCCTTCCAACCAGCCCTACCCCTATGGTCTACCCCCACCACCTCCTCTACCTGGTTCGCAATACCCACCGATGATGTCAGGAGTGGGTGGGTGGCCAAACCAGCCCGTAATGCCTCCAGTGGCAGGTTATCCTCCCGGTGCAACTTACCCTCCGGGTCCTTCAGGCACTGGCGCTTACACCATACCGACTACATCCAACGGAACTGGGATGTGTCCAACACCATGGCCTTCAAATCCTACTCCAGGTGGTTGGGGAGATGCACCATCCATGGGATATGGAGGTACGATTTATCAGCCTTAGTCCATTGGTGTAGTTCTCAGTGTTCGCACTGCATCCCACATCTTGACATAATCATCCACGACTTTTTTTTCGGCAGGTCAGTGTTCGCACTGCATCCCACATCTTGACATAATCATCCACGACTTTTTTATTCGGCAGGTCCAGGTATGGTACCGCAGCCCTATTCAACCGGACCGGGCAACTACTGGGGTGGTTATTACCCACAGCCTATACCCAACCCCCCTCCACCTCCACCTCCAGGCGTCTAACGAACAACTCGTGTATGCATTTGATGATCGTTTTCTTCTCTTTCACCCTGTATCATGAAAGCCTTCCCCATTTCGTTCTCCTTGTGTACAAAATACTAGTCCTCTGATGCTCCGATTTTCTTGACTTGAGCATTCTGGTTTTCATACGACTCAGGAGCTATTGATGGAATTCATAACGCGTTCAGATGCGGAGTTATTATGGAACATCAAACACGGTTTCAAGCGATCGGACATGAAAGTGGGAAACTGTATAGATTCTGAGAGACTTGATGTTCTCAGCAATCGGCTGAACATTTAGAATCACTACAAGAATACCCTCAACATATAAATCTCCAACTCAACTGTCGATTAGCCCTGAACTGTGAACATTAATGGCGGGTTTCATCAGCGAAAGTTTGCATTCACACCACCAGTGATCAGTTGTTGCTTTTCATTTTGTTACGATTCATTGTGAAAGCGTCGTGATTGTGATTAACCGTCATCGAGATAAGCCACATGATTCTCGGATCCTTAACACGGCGGAATTTCCCGGGGTTATTTTCTATCCATTTTTTTCCATTATTTGGTACCATTTATGGGTGAGAGCACACTTTCGCCTCTGATTCCAGGCCAGTAGACCCCCTACCGGGAGAAACCGCACATCCCTGGTGTGCGATCTCGTGGTAGTAGACAATCAGCTTTCCCAAACTGCGAGGTATCACGGGCATAACGACATCCGAGCAAGTTATATACCAATTTCATTCAGACGCATCTGTCAGAGCGTTCCAGTGATATCCTTGGTTCCGTTCGCATTGTTCCCAATAACCACTTAACGAGGCGGCCGCAATTTCTACTAGTATGAAGCCCTCTCACCACCAACTTGTCGAGACTTGTTATACGGATAATAGTCTTCAAAGCTCAGCCAATTGGTCATTTCCACAGAACACTAAGACGGAAGCTTTCGGGCACTTAGCTCGTTCGTGATGGCGTCGGGTTAGCCTTCAAGCCTGTGCTTAGTGTACAACCGGTTCCGGTATTTAAAATCGCGTGGGCTGCTGAACTCGGCTAGTGAGCACGGTTGGATTTCAGTTTTCCTCGCATCAATGGTCCCTTCCCCTGATTTGTCTTCCCTATCCAATTTGCCGCACACATGTTCACCTTCGTTACCGCGATATCGGTGTTTTAGCTTAGTTCTCGGTCAAAATTCCAAGCTAGAGTTCCACAAAGGTACCCAACGTGTATTAACGCCCAAAACCTGGCGAAAAAGAACTCGCCGTCTATAAAGCACTTGCGGCGGATTCGGAAGCCTGGATTTGCAATTGGCAGCGGGCTTCGGGGTATACTGGTTCATGGCTGACTATTGGGTCCAGAATTCCGGCCATTTGCGCGCGAGATAGACTTGATTGTAGCAGCGCCTAAGTGTGAACGGTGTCGGTGCTGTATCCCACCTAATAGGTACTGCGTCGGACGCAGCCCATTCAGGAAAAGGCAAATGCAGAAAATTACGATTTTCAGGTGACCGATCGGGGCGAAATCCATTCATACTATGGCTAGCCAGACCAGTTGTATTAGCTGCTTGTCCGACTGTGCCTCCACATTCTCATGGCAGAGAGGTGGTCCACTTCTCTTCACAGGTCCTTGTTCAACAACTTTTGGAGCGGTATTGTGTCCAGCCTCGGTGGAGCGCGGCGATGTCGGTATTGTGTCCAGCCTCGGTGGAGCGCGATGCCACTGCTGGAGATTCGCTGTCCGTTCCCGTGCTGGCCGCTTCCTAGCCTTCTAGTGGTCGGCCGGTGAGTCGAAATCCGCAGCAACGTCTTAGCGGCCGCCCAGTCCATTTTCGGACGGCTTTATTTGGCCGCGTCCAGTCTTTTTCACCTAACCTCGGGGCAAAGTTTTCAACGTCGCCAGATTACATCGATCGGCCTTTATCCCGGCTACATCCGTCACACAACCCTCCAAAATGGCCAGAGCGACTGTACGCTATCCATCCTATAGTGACGACGGCTCCAGATGAAAGTCAGGACGTGTTTAGATGCAGAGTGGTTGTGAAACATGAGACAGTTTCAAGCAATCCGGCACGAAGGTGAAAACCCGATTCTCAGGGTTTGAGATCGGTCCTCTCAGTTGTATTCTCAGGTATTTCTGGGCGGTGTTTCAATATTTGATGTAAATGAAACAGCCAAATATTCTCCCAACTCAACTGTTGACCAGCTGCGAGGGTGGTGCTTCGAACTGTAGGGATTTTAATCGACGGAATGCCCTATCACAACCAACTATAATAATAATGTAATAGTAATAATACAGCACCCCCTCGGTGCCCAGCTGCCATGCCATCCGAAGGGTGCCCGAGGGCTGGGGTACTGCCAAGTTGCTCAAGCCTGGATAGGAGAAGTTGAAGTGCAAAACGCGAATTGGATGCTTTGTGCTAGAATTTCATCGAAGTTAAGCTTGAAAAAACGAAGGGTAACATTCATGAAAGTCCGAGGTCCATCCTGAAGGAGGGTTCTTGCTCATAAGTGGGACCGCTGTCAGTGGACATGGTTGTACGGCATCAAATCACCAGTGTTGAACATTGATGTAATACTGTCCATGCTGCTGCTGCTGGTGACTCATTCTTGTGCCCCACTTGTTGGTTCTCATCATGTAAAACAAACCACGGGTAGAATCAGGTATTTTCTTTTCGAACGCGGCTCACACAGGACATAGACCAGGGAAGCCAGTGAGATCAAAAACCAAGGTATGCCAGTACAACCACACCGAACTGGATAAACTCAAGACAACCTTACACCACTCGAGCGACGGTCACGAATTTGAAGGATGTGCTGGGTGGCTATCTTAGGCAGGAACATTTACTGATCTAAGTGGTGACGTGTACAGAGTACAGTAGAAAAAGAACAGGTTTTTGCTACTGGATCTACTGCTAACTTGTATTCACAACATCAGACAACGCGCGCCCACATCTGTGGGAAGCGTGTGCCCGTGCTGGAGAGAGGGGTGACGCCGAACATGCATTATTAATCTCAGTCGAATTACCCGAATAGCACGAACGTGTTCTCAGTGTCATCGTTCTGTTTGGTGATGACACTGGATTGGGTGCTCTGCTTTGTCATCATCAAAGCAGTTTCACTAACTCTGAGTTTGGGAATAAAATGACCGCTCGAATACACCATCCACATTAATTAGGACATTTGGTTGGATTGTTTAATTAAGCCGCGTGATAATGAGGTATGGAGAGTGTGCCCAAATAATTTCTGCGTAAAATGTTAGGGAACTATTGTTTGGGTAGGTGAGTGTAGGAAATTTGTATTAGAATTCCGCATAACCACGACCATAGAAAAGGTCAGCATATGAAATAGTTCCTCGTTGGTGTTCTAATTCTGATGCCCGAATTGTATTTGCCTCCTAACTTTATTACTTGGAATTAAATCAGGTGGAAAAATCGGCATACTTGTTCAAATAACGATGCGGTTTGTGCGGCATGATAACGTCTCGAATAATTGTCTGCCGCTGTGCGCCATAGGTAGCCATAAACGAAAGTACGAATGAATTTTAATTCCTGCTGACACACGGCTCACGTGGACAGTGCCTGTCACATCTGATTCAGGTCCTTTTACAAACAACTGGGTAATGAAAGCAGCCTCTAAACAGGTCAGCAAATGCGTTCTTGCACTCCTTGTAACGATTTTGGTGGCTGGGGTAGTATCATTTTTGTGTCCAAATATGATGAGTCGTTTGGCGACAGACTAATTAGGATTCCAGTCAAGCGTCGAGTGACAGCTGTGAGATTGATTCACACTATTCACAACGTGTTGAGAGGCCTGTACTTCCATGTTGATCGGTCTAACGATCATTGAGGATTTGTGGTGGGTATTTCTTGTATCTAAGCCTGTGCATGCTATTGTCGATGTCCACCGCTAAAGACACTATTCAGCTTACCTCGGGATGTCCTAACGGGCTGGAAAGCACCTAGCAGTCGAAGCAAGCTTTCGTCGATTACATCAGCTGAGCATATCAAACCTGAACGCAGTTGGATGTCACCCGAATTGTGATTACCTGTTCCTGATTAGCAAAGATGTTGGATCCTGTGGAGGTTCGCACCGTGTGTCTTCAATTACTTGAACGAACAAACGGTACTCAACCTTTTGTCGTCTGGAATAATTGCCAACCGAGAAACAGCTAAATTATTCGTCTAATAAGCCGTGTACAGAAGCTCTCAGAAATCTGGATGCTGTTAGAGTTGGCTTTCAAAATTCACACACCGGTCCACCAAGATAAAATGCTCCAAAAAGACCTCGAGTTACTCAACAATAACCAAGCTACTGAATAGGCATAGGTGGATCCCTGAATGATCTGCACATGATGTGCACATCCGGTGACATTTTTTTCCGGGAAACAAGGGCGGAATTACCTCACAGTGTACACCTAAAGTAGATGTTTAATTAGCTCGATGTCCATGCTTACATACGCTGTATTCCCTGAATGGAACAGAGGAGCAACCATGTGCCTGTCGAACTGCACACCGAAAGAGGAAGGTGTACGACAACGTTCCGTTATCGAACTAGATCAGCGACGGATACTCGGGGTGAAAAAATACAACCTGAAGAAGCCATTATTCCGGTCCACTGACAAAAGACATTTTGATTGGTGTGAACAGAACCGGCAATTGCTGTTTTTACTGCCTGCTGTCGGATCTGTACATTCGTGTGATGGAATTCGACAACACTTTCATTCTTTTGTTCCGTTTACTCTGGACTTTTATGTGAGCTCTGGTTTACAATGAAACCAAATGTATGTCAAACTGTTTTGCGTATTTCTGAGTTACCAAACGGAACCGGTAATCCAATAAGGGGATTGAGTGCGTGAGATTCGGCAAAAGAGTCGTTTTATCCTTTTGGCCCACCTAGCTTGTTCTAATATGCCCCCTTGATGAAGTTGGAAGAATTCTTGTCTTATAACTGCATAACCCGTCTGTTGTACTGAATCTTAGCTTCAAATGGCCAATCTAGCGGGGATATCCCACCAAAACTGATATATTTTCATTCAGCTGAAGTATGCCACAATCACGTTTCTGGAACTTGGAAGTGCGAACAAATGTCTGTTGGTAGTCTGAGGAGATTTAAGAATTTCAATGGGGATTTCGTCCCGATCCGATCTATGAATCCGATCTATGTTGAAAAGCCCAGAAATACTGTGCAGCTGTTTCGTCCTCAGTCGTGAATTGTAAGCTACCCCCAAAATCTGCACGGACCTAAGTTGTGTTTAGCCAATTTTCAACTTCATGAGCACTTTAGCAACGCCTGACAGTGTAAAGCATTTCATGAGCTGACAATCGGATATAGGGAAATGTGCTTCGGAAATTCGCCCCCTTCTGACTGGTCCAGCCAAATTGCCCACTGCGCCGATACACAGAAGCTTGAACCTTGGAATGACGACCGGAAACCTCAAAATAGTCGGGTCTGAAAGGCTGATTGCAGGAAGTGTGGAGCAGTTTAATGCACTCGGACGATCATAATTTCAAGGTTTACACTACCTAACATATGAAGAACACGGCAACGTGTCATTACGTACTTGAATATGTGTATTTTCGAGTCATCGTATGCACATACCACCAACCATCATGTAAATAAATGTCGGTAAGTAGTTTAGGTTTACAATGCTTTGAGCTTAACAGTGGGCTTATCCAACAACAGTGGGCATGTCGCAGTTCAGAAAATACAAGAACTTCACCTTGTTTCTGATACATTCGAATAGACTTTTGAAGCCAAAAATGGCAAGAGGGAATTAACACCCTACACTCCTAAGTGTTGGTTACCTTAGGACGGTATATTTTGACATTAGGCTGAAAATCAGAAGGGCCACCTCTCTTTGGACATAATCAATAACTTTATTTTACGCTGCCATGCTCTTGCATCTTTTTTGGCTCATTATTATATATCACCAAATACCACTATCAGTAAATAAGCTAGTCCGAAAATTCGCGTGAGATTCCTCAAGGAAGTCACGTGATCTAACAATTATTGATTGGTAACCAACGAACCGGATGTTAAGGTGGGATTCACTTGATTCAATTGCGGTAACCAAATTTATGTGCGAAGGAGTGTAGTCCGTGAATTTTGGACACATCGTGAGATTCAAATGAGCTATAAGGCCGACGGAAACTCTGGGGCCACGGCTACCTGATTAGCCTTAAGAGGGGTAAAACCAGTCGTGGGTTGTCGAAGAGTTTCCAGTAGCCTTGAGAGTTTTCTATAGAGGAAAATTTTGGTAGCTCAGGTAGCGTAGATGGTCGTGGGCTCGATTGGTGGTGAAACGTTTGCAATCAAATTGCCCAGCTCAGCGAACAAGCCAACGGAAATGTGCTTCGGAAATTCGCCCCCTTCTGACTGGTCCAGCCAAATTGCCCACTGCGCCGATACACAGAAGCTTGAACCTTGGAATGACGACCGGAAACCTCAAAATAGTCGGGTCTGAAAGGCTGATTGCAGGAAGTGTGGAGCAGTTTAATGCACTCGGACGATCATAATTTCAAGGTTTACACTACCTAACATATGAAGAACACGGCAACGTGTCATTACGTACTTGAATATGTGTATTTTCGAGTCATCGTATGCACATACCACCAACCATCATGTAAATAAATGTCGGTAAGTAGTTTAGGTTTACAATGCTTTGAGCTTAACAGTGGGCTTATCCAACAACAGTGGGCATGTCGCAGTTCAGAAAATACAAGAACTTCACCTTGTTTCTGATACATTCGAATAGACTTTTGAAGCCAAAAATGGCAAGAGGGAATTAACACCCTACACTCCTAAGTGTTGGTTACCTTAGGACGGTATATTTTGACATTAGGCTGAAAATCAGAAGGGCCACCTCTCTTTGGACATAATCAATAACTTTATTTTACGCTGCCATGCTCTTGCATCTTTTTTGGCTCATTATTATATATCACCAAATACCACTATCAGTAAATAAGCTAGTCCGAAAATTCGCGTGAGATTCCTCAAGGAAGTCACGTGATCTAACAATTATTGATTGGTAACCAACGAACCGGATGTTAAGGTGGGATTCACTTGATTCTATTGCGGTAACCAAATTTATGTGCGAAGGAGTGTAGTCCGTGAATTTTGGACACATCGTGAGATTCAAATGAGCTATGAGGCCGACGGAAACTCTGGGGCCACGGCTACCTGATTAGCCTTAGGGTAAGTAAAACCAGTCGTGGGTTGTCGAAGAGTTTCCAGTAGCCTTGAGAGTTTTCTATAGAGGAAAATTTTGGTAGCTCAGGTAGCGTAGATGGTCGTGGGCTCGATTGGTGGTGAAACGTTTGCAATCAAATTGCCCAGCTCAGCGAACAAGCCAACGACTACCTTATGAGGAG